TTTGAAACACACACTCAAATTTTAACTGTATACCCGACAACAATTGACAAAACGCGTTCCGGCTGTTTAACAGTTACCAGAACGCGTTGCGAGCGTTTAAAAACAGCCAGAACGCGTTCTGTGCGTTTGAAGGCAGCCAGAACGCGTTGTGGTCGTTTTTTTCCGGCCACTGAGCGTTTTCGGTCTTCGGGCCTAACATATATAAAAATGAATTGATGTTCGTTAGTATCTCGAAAACTCGAGAACGGATGGACCAATTTGGCTAATTTTGGTCTTGAATTATTTGTGGAAGTCCAGAGAAGGTTTAAAAGGTGAATAAATATGAAAGTTGTTAACCATCTTTCAGATTATTTTTATGTAGATTGATAAACCTTAAGTTTTGTCACAAATTAAATTTCTGAACGCAATCATAACATTTGACATTTGACAACCAAGTTTATTTTATACAAAAGTTTAGGTCAGTACGAAGTCTGCCGAGTCAGCTAGTATTTAATATTAAGCTAAAAAAAAAACAACGGATCTCCATAGTGACGGATTCAAGGAGAAAGGCCTAATCGGCAATCGTTCCAAGGAACCCATTCTTCAGTATAAGTCTTTGAAATCTTATTATCCAAAATCACTAATATATATTCAATGTTTTTTGAATTAAAGTAATTCTTAAAGGTTCGATGCAAATTGCTCATTTACCGCCACTTAAATCCGCCACTTGAATTTCCAGGAGGTTGACGAATGTTTACGGTGGCAAAAAAGGGCTCAACTGTACGGAAGCCGAAGAAGAAATTTAAGAAAGAAGAAGTCGAAATTGTGGATAAATCAAACGGGTGGAGGGCTTTAGTACCTATAGGCACTTATTTTAAAAGAATATGGCGAACGCTAAAATGTAATGATATTACAAATCTTTTACAAAAGCTGCCTGAAAAGTTTCCAATCTAATAAAGAAACAATAGGTTTTTGTCAAATTTACTTTTATTTTTCCACATAGTCTACTTATAAGCCCAAATACGTCCCTCAGTGATACTCCAACCTCTTTAACCTGTTCAAATAGTAAGTACTTGTAGCCTTTCTCTGCAAAATGCATAGTTCTTCATTTAACGAATATCAGCGTCCTTCAAGCACAACTTTTTAGTTATAAAACAAAAACAATATACTTGGGGTTAAATCTGGTGAGTATAAAGAGGTTGGTCAAACAATTCAAACCCTAAGTCGTCAGTTTTTGTCTTGGAGAAACAAAGATTTTTTTGCAAATTAGGGCTATTTTCTGCATTCAGCTATGAGACAACTTCATACCAGAAGATAATCGCCATAATTTTCCCAGCCAAAAGAAAGGCCCTTGCCTTTATCTTGCTAAATCTCCCTTTGCAGACCAGCGTTTTGACTGTACGTTTGGTTCTGTAGTATCCAGTTGTATCCCCAGGAATTAACCCCAATGGCGCAACAGCAGGGCCATTGCACATGTTTATTCGAACACGTTTACTCATGCCTACATCTTGATTCGATATATAACAAGTACATTCTTTGGGCATATTCTGAGCTGTCTCTCTAACCTTAATTAGTTGGTCGCCCTGCACCATTTGATAAACTTGAGCAATGCCAAGTGGTGGTTGTAGTTCAGCCGTCCCATACGTTCATAGTCCCCCAAACAGGTGTGGTGACATTTAAAAAACGGTTAGTTTTTATTGGAAAGTAGTTAATGTAGGTGAAGAGTGAAGATCTATGTCTGAAGTGCTACTGCAGCTTTTCACTGAACATATTAACTTTTTATTTGATTTAACTCGACTCCAAAAAATTTTTACTTTCTTAACGTGTTTTATGATTTTAATAAACAATTTTACAATTTGCGTGCACAATTCCTATGTAAATTTTTCTCTCATTCGACTTATAAATTTTTCCACCAGATGGTGTATGCCCATTTGACGGATTCCAATAGAGAGCCCAATTCGCCTTCAATTTATGGAAGCCATTTACCTACTTAAAGACAGATCATTACTAGATTTTTTCCATTTTCACAAAAATCTCACATCGTCTACCTCAATCGATTGTCAGACTACAACTGTATGTCTTAAATAGTTGAAATTTTAGTGGATGCGTTCGTATCAAACATGCGCAAGCATTTGTTGCCAACTTCATGCGGAATAGGTCGGTAGCTTTTCAGACGACCCTGGTATATTAACAGACTAAAGCAGATGCTGTTCAAACCTTCAAACTTCTAACCAAGTTAAATATATAAACTTTTCCTACTGGCCCAATATATAAACTAACTGCTTTGCGCTGCAAGTGAAAAATAAGTTTCGGAGTTCTAATATAAAATCCATCAATTTAAAAATGCAAAACTTCCTTTACGTTCACAACTGTAACTTTTGCATTGAACTTTCCAACAGTGCACGGAATCATCGGTTGTGGTTATTGTTAAAACATCTGTTGTCCAAAATTTTAAACTTCTAAGTCAGGACACTGTTTCGCTCTTGCCTTACCAGAATAATAAACTTTCCGCGAACGCTTTCCGTTACTTTTAGCTGTGATTTATTGAATGCAGAGAAAATCACTTCAGCGGTTACTTAAATAACGAAACAGTCATTAGTTGTTATCTAGCCTACTATTAATTTCCTCCTCGATTGTTAAACCCAAGGGAGAAAAGGCGAAAATGTAAACAAAAAAGCGCAAGGGATATGTGTAGATTCAGGGACAATACTAATTAATTATACACGTTCTGTTATGAAAAGGCTTTCATCTCAATAATATTATCATCATCCAATAAACGTATCTTTGACAATCATGACACCCACCAGTAGGCAAGTAATTAATTTTCCACAACCCACATTCTTGATTTTTACTGTATCATCATGCATTGTCAATCAATTCATAGTACTAATCTGCCATCTATTGTATATCTAAAAAGTTATAATCACCGACAGGCGTTTTTTTATCAATGCTTTGTCATAAAGCCATTAGTTAGTTATTAATACAAATTTGTTACTAAATAAAGTATCATCCTCGGCTGGATATAGATAAGCCTTGATTAAACATTATCATTGCTGAGACGGATTAGACGTGATAACATTAAAAAAAAACACTTAAAACAGCAGTCCATATGTACCCTTTTAGAAGTAAAAATTGGAAGGAATTAGGTCCTGCACCATGCTAATAGTGTTCGCGTTTTTCTTGTTGTAAAGATGAATGCCATATGGATATCCTGCGGCCAAACATGGAATTTATTTTAATACCAGTTAACACTAGAAAGACTGAAACTTAGTATATACTTATTTTGCCCAGAAGCAGTCATAATGTCTGCAAATTTTTTGCAAATAAAACTGGTAATTTTTTCATGAGTACACTTTCCACATACATACTTTTTACACTTGTCACAAATATTCATTGTTTTGTTATTGTGACAAAGTCGTACTTGACAAAATCTGCGTTTTTTAGGGTCACAGTCTACCTTATTATTGTTAGGGCAGATTGAATTTTTGTTTGAGTCTTTAGGTTTTTTGCATCTTGCATTTCTATATTCGGCGGAAAGCTGTTCTGCTAATTGAAACAAGAACTCTTTTCTCTGTATTTGTATTCCTGTTGTTTCTTTATACAAAATCCAGGCATTTATAGCAGCCAGAT